GGTCGGGGCACGTGCAGGAGGCAACCAATTCATGTGTCTCTCTCACATCAGTGTTCCTCTCTATTTCTCTTTTCCACCCCCTCCCATCCCTCCCTCACTTCTATTTTCTCAAAAAATCAATGGAAAAAATATACTCAGGTGAGGATTAACAAAATAAAATAAAATAGAAACTCCACATCCATTCATTGTCATCCGCCTCCATCCTCCCCCAGCCCCAGGCAACCACTATTTCTTGTTTCTCCAGATTTGCCCATTCTGATCTTCAATATAAATGCAATTATAAAATACATGTTTTTTATGACTGACTTTTTTCATATAGCCTGAGATTTCCAAGGTTCATGTGTCAGCTCTGCATTGCTTTTTATTTACAAATATATTCCATGATATGCATGGGGCACATTTTATTTGTCTGTTCATTCATTGGACATTTGGGTTGCTTGGGCTTTTTGGCTACCATGAATTACTCTGATGATGGCTCGTGCACAAGTCTCTGCGTGTGAGAGGGGCCTTGGTGATGAACATTCAGTCTTGGCCAAACCCCTGGGCATCCAGGGGGATGGGGTCCTCACCTGCATGTCAGGAGGGTCTCCGAGTCTGGCCTCAGGGCCTGGATGCCTCTGTTGTCCCCACAGGAGGCAAGCAACCAGGAGACCAAAGGTCACAAATGTTGAAGACCCTGTCATGGACACAGTCACCTGGGTGAGTGACATGGGTGTCTCCTCATGCGGGTTAGGGGGGGCTAGGCATGTCCATTCAAGGAGTCCACACTGAGCTCCTCTGTGGTCAGCTGGACAGGCAGCTGGGAGTCAACTTCTCCCCTTCACCTCCCAAAGCCCATGGTCAGCCTCCTGCCTCAGGCCTGCTGATCATTGAGCCCAACTCACCACTCTGATAGGCCCAGGCTGCCAGAACCATCTCCCCAAAACTGTTACTTTCTACCCATTGTGGGCATGTTACTTCACCTCTCCTCACCTCGGTTTCTTATGCGGGTTAGGGGGGCCTGTGCATGTCCATTCAAGGAGTCCACACTGAGCTCCTCTGTGGTCAGCTGGACAGGCAGCTGGGAATCGACTCCCCGCCTTGGTCTCCCAAAGCCCAAGGTCAGCCTCCTGCCTCAGGCCTGCTGATCATTGAGCCCAACTCACCACTCTGATAGGCCCAGGCTGCCAGAACCATCTCCCCAAAACTGTTACTTTCTACCCATTGTGGGCATGTTACTTCACCTCTCCTCACCTCGGTTTCCCCATCTGTAAATGGGGATAAGAGTAGCATCCTTACTGCGTGTCTGTGAGGATGAAATGTGATTAGTAGGCCCTCCATATGGTCTAATCGGTTGTAGTATTCCAGAATTTTAACTGAAGGGGCAAATAGCTGAGTTTATACGACAGGTGTGTGGAATAAGAGGATGACTGGAAAACTGTTCCTTCAGCCCAACTTCCCCTTGGGACCATGCTGTCTTATTCTTCTCTGACTCCCTACTCTTCTTCACTCAGAGTTCCAAGCGAAAACTTGGGCTAGACAAGCCCCCAAACCAAGGGCTGCCCACAGAGGATCCCCCTCTGTCAGAGGAACACTGGGAGGTCTACTACGGCAACCTCAGCTTTCATGGGATGAAGCCACAGGAACCTGAGGACCCGGAGGCCACCAGCAGCATCAACGAGTACTCGGAGATCTAGGAGACAAGCACATGAGGACTCACTCAGAGCCCGGTCCTGGGCAGAGGCATCGCAGCCCCTCAGGGGAGAAGAAGTCAGGGACTCATTTCTGAAGCATGAGGAGACCTTGTGGCACGATTAACGTTAACTACTGTATGAGCAGAGCAGAAAGAAGACAGGTGATGGGATTGCAGAGACGTGGCCTCAAACGCAGGCTTCAGCACATCCCAAGGCAGCGGTCGCCAACTGGTGGTCCATGAGGTCCGAAAGGTTGGTGACCGCCGTCAAGGCAGTGTCATCACGTGGTGATTCCTTCATGTCTCTGTTGCTCAGTGTCCCATTCTGTGCAGAGGGCATGCATTGTGCTCAAAGCTGGTTGTTGCATTAAATAAATCAGCACATAGACATCAACCAACAGAGGTTCCGTCACAGACGTGTGCCCAGCACTGGCTGGTCTCTTTTTGAACAGGAAGGTCCTGCTGGCAAGTGCTCCTGAAGCCAGGGGTGAGCAGGCACAGTGGACAGGGTGACAGCTTGTTGGTGTCATTTTCCATCCCGGAACGCTTCAGAGCCTCCCCAGGGAGAGGCCACCCTCCTGACTTGGAGTTCGGTTCATGAGATAGTTTCTTAGCACTTCTCTGGGGTCAACTGGCCTCACTTTTACCTGTTCATTCTCCCAGCACCTCCTGACCGCCAGGCCCTCCCTTGCCCATTTTAGGGTCCCACAGGGATCTTGCCAACAGTTTGGGGACCATACCCAAAGCTGACCAGGTACTGCATCACCAAAGGTGGTACAGGATTCCAGGGCAGGATGAATAGGGAAACGGAGACAGGAAAGTTAAACGAGGCCAGACAGTGTGGGCAATTTGCAGCTTGTAACTAACAAGCCATCATCTTCTCCAGCCAAAGACACTTGAGAGAAAATGGTTAAAAACCTTCCTAAAGAGAGCATGCAGGAAGGGAGGGGAAAGGGGGAAAGGGAAAAAAGGACAGTTTTACTCCCCAAGCAGAGAAGACAGTGTTATATTGTAAATCAGCGAGCTTAACAGAAGATGCCTTACTGAGCCAATTAATTTGGAGTCTTTTATTACACTAGCAGGCCCAGACTGCTTCTGAAATCTGAGCAAAGCAACATGGAGGAACTTCTCCCTTTAAATCCCCCCTAGTCCCTTTGTCTCCCAAATATAGAGTTTCTGGACCTTTGCAAGTTTTCAAAGAGCCCCATGTATGCTTAGTAGCTATCTTCCAGGAAGCCTGTAACCTTGAGTACGACACAGTTCTATTTGGATAACTAACACACCTGGCATGAGAGTATGGGAGTATCAGTCCTTAGCCTACAAGGTCAGACAGCTAAGTTGATCTTCCCTATTACTCAAGTAAGCTAAAAAGCGTCTGTTTACAGAAGCTAATAAGCAGAGTTAATTCACAGAATAAGGGACTGTCTAAGAATAGCAGAGTTGACTCACAGAACAAGGGACCATCTAAAATAGCAGAGAATTTCAAACAGCAGTTTTACAAAAGAGAGATTACTATGTTTCACCAGCAGTCTCAAGGCCTGGCAAGATAAAGCTGCCAGATGCTTCTCATGAATTCTGGGAAGGCCACTCCAACGTTAAAAGGGACCTTGAGAAGGAATCTGTACCAAGATATTCAGCAAAGGAATTTTGAAACCTATAGACAGGAGGGTATACAACGCCTCAGACCGGTTCACTTTTCTAAATTGGCCAGAAAAGCCCATCTGTGCTCCAAGCCGGATAAAATATGACAGGTTTGCATGCTTTGCTTTTTCAATGAAGGTGCATGCTTTCATTGCTTTAATAAATTGGCTTTTCACAGCGCAGGCAAGGTCTTTGGTACAAATTCATTTACAGGAGGAGATAAGGATGGAGGTCAGGAGCAGCCCTCTCCCACTGACTCGGGGGTTGCCCAGTCACATCTCTCTGGTGTTGGTGCCTCTAGCAAAAAGGACTTATTCAGGCAAAAAGAAAGCGTTGCCTTGTTATGGGAGGTCAGGAGCAGCCCTCTCCCACTGACTCGGGGGGCTGTCCGGTCACATCTCTCTGGTGTTGGTGCCTCTGGCAAAAGGGACTTATTCAGGCAAAAAGAAAGCGTTGCCTTGTTATGGCGAGCCACGTGCACACATTGAGCAAGGGGGAGAAGCCGGAAGGAAGCCCTTTTTAGAGGGGAAGCGGAAGTTAAGGGGCGGGGCTGAAAGGACCATAGAGCGCTGCTGTAACCATAGAGTGTTTGCTGTAGGGCTCTCAGCACTGCAGGGGGCGCAAGAGAGCGCCTCCCACAGGCCCTCGCGATTCCTGTCTGGGGGGCAAATTTGGAGAAGCCAGAGAGCTGACCCTGACTCTCTCTTACACACACCCCTTCCTGACTCCCTGGCTCTAGACAATACATCACAGGCACCTTCTCCCGGCATTTATCTACTCACCCACCCTCTCCCAGTGGCTTTTTTCCTTAAATTCTCCACGACGGTTTGTACAAAATCGTGGCCATTTGAGACCCCCTCTCCTGGAGGCCACACCTCCTCGCTTGCTTTCATCTGGTGCACACCTTCATGTCTTCAAACCTGCCCGTCAGCCCTTCTCTGTCCCACTGAAGGGCCCCACAGAAATCTTCCCAACAGCCCGTGCGCCATAAACAAAGCTGACCGGGTATTTCATCACCAAAAAGGACTTATTCGGGGAAGAAGAAAAGGTTGCGACACCCCCCTCACAGTTACAGTGAGCCACGTGCACCCACAGAGCAGGGAAGAAGCAGGAAGGAAGCCCGTTTCACCGAGGGGAAGCGGAAGTTAAGGGGCGGGGCTGAAAGGACCATAGAGCGCTGCTGTAACCATAGAGTGTTTCCTGTAGGGCTCTCAGCGCTGCAGGGGGTGTGAGAGCGCCTCCCACAGGCCCTCCCGATTCCTGTCTCGGTGGCACATTTGGACAAACAAGAGGGATGATCCTGACTCTCTCCTACACACACCCCGCTTCCTGACTCCCGGGCTGTAGACAATACATCACAGGCACCTTCCCCCGGCATTGATCTACTCACTCGCCCTCTCCCCGTGGCCTTTTCCCTTAAATCCTCCACGCCGGTTCGTACACAAATCATTGCTATTTGAGACCCCTCTCCTGGAGGCCACACCTCCTTGCTTGCTTTCATCTGGTGCACACGTTCATGTCTTCAAACCTGAGTGCTTGGACAGGCTTGAATTGAGAGGGTGGACTGAAGAAAGAGTGCATATCCTTTCTCCTCTAAAGTTGAACTAATTAATTTTTTTAAAGAAAGTTCTAGAATGAATGCAGCCAAAAATTCGCCAGCAGTACTGTGGCTAGCGTAAGTGCCTAACAATAAACTTTTTTTTAATCCTCATCCGAGGAGATTGTTCCTGATTTTTTAGAAAGAAGGGGAGAGAGAGAGAGAGAGAGAGAGAGAGAGAGAGAGAGAGAGAAACATTGATGTGAGAGAGAAACATCAATTGGTTGTCTCCCATATGTGTCCCGACTGAGAATCTAAGCTGAAACGTAGGTATGTGCCTTGACCGGGAATTGAACCCCCAACCTTCTGGTGTACTAGAGACAATGCCCCAACCAACTGAGCCACACTGGCCAAGGCACAATAAATTCTTTTGATTGTAAGTGCCTGACATTAAGCTATTGATTGCCAAGGCATCCATTTCAAAGGCAACCATATTGCAAACTAGATAAACAGCCAGGTTGCCCCTCTAATGAAGTTCCCTTTTTTGTTGTTGTTTGTTAATCCTCACCTGAGGATATTTTCCATTGATTTTTAGAGAGAGTGGAAGGGGGAGGGAGAGACAGAGAGAAACATCGATGTGAGAGACACACCAATTGATTGCCTCCTTCACGCACCCCTACCAGGGACAGGGAACTGCAACCAAGGTACATGCCCTTGACCGGAAGCAAGCCCAAGACTCTTCAGTCCTCGGGCCGAAGCGACTAAGGCATGAAGTTCCCTTTTAGAAACCTTTGGGTGGCCTAGATAACTGATCACTTGAGTGACCCTGCTTTCCCTTCCTGAACTTTAATTCCTGCTCCTATGTTTGAAGTTCACCAACAGAGAACCTGCAAAACCCTAGGCACCACAACCTCCACCCCAATAGAGGCTGGACACTGGGTCCCCTCTGTCTCTGTACCTGCTGAGTGGCCCTCGGCGTGTTGTGTGTCCTCCAGGACTTGTACGTACAATTGTCCCCCTTCTCCCTGGGAGCTATGTCCCAAGACCCCCAGTGGATGCTTTAAACCACAGATAGTACCAAACCTTATATATAGTATGATTTTCCCCCTCATACACACCAAGGATAAATTTTGATGTGTAAATTAGAGATGAACAATAATAATGAATGTTAGAATAGAAGAATTATAACATATATACTGTACTGAAGGTTACGTGAATGTGGTCTCTCCCTCTCTCAAAATATCTCCTGGTACTGTACTCACCCTCCTGCCTGCGCTGATGGGAGATGACACACAATGCCTCCATGATGGGCTGAAGGGTGGTGAATGACTTAGGCCTTAGGCTACTATAAGGGTGACTTCAACACAAGCACCATGACACCAGGACAGTTGATCTGATAACCTAGAGTCTAGGTCCTAGACGACTACTAAGTGACTAACAAGTGGATAGTGTA